CCCGGCCCGGGCTAACTTATATTGAACTCAATTTAACTCTACTATTTCAATATCAATTAATTTGGATTGTCTTCTCCAAACTATAACTAAGAAAAGGGTGTGATAACAAACACAATAGAACGGTTCGATAATCGATTGATTTTTTTCAATCGAACCAAACTCGTTTCTTAATCATCTTCGATTTGTAAGAGACGAAAGTTGGCCGCATCTGAAAAGGTCCGAGAAAGGTTCAGAGTGTAATGCTGTTTTTTAAGATTCAGGGAAGTTGGATTTTGTAGGTAGTAATGAACGGAAGGATCTTTCTGCTAGATGTTTTGTCTTTCAGTTAAAAAAAACAACAAACAAACAAAACGTTCGAGTGAACTTCCCGCAATGTGACACATCTGGAAGAATTTGTTGAACGATATCTTTAAGGCCCCTTCCACACTTGTCCGGAAATTTTTGTATCCGTGTCCGGAAATTTTCGAATACGGTCTCCAGAGTGGAAATTTTCGAATACGCTCCAAATACGGATACGTGTGGACGGTCGTATCCGCAAATTTTCGAATACGATGACGTAAACACGATTTTGCGCATGCTCAATAAGAAAAACTATCCGTCAAAGGGAACGGATCATGAAATTTCCGGATACGTGTGGACAGTGAAAACGATTCGAAAACGGTTCAAACACGCTGCGTGTGGACGCAAAAAAAATTTGCGGATACAAGAATTTGCGGATACGTGAGGACGGGGCCTAAGAAGACTCCTTAACAGAGCTAGGGACTATCAGGAGGGGATTCTAAAAAACGGGGAGAGGGCCAAAGTACAAAGTAATGCAACCAATGAGGGTTTAGATTCTTTGACCCTGAGAGCATCACCAATTTTGCAGCTTGTATATACAGGTTGTAATGTTGTTCCGATGTTGTTTAGTTGTTATAACTTGAAACATTTATTTTGTTATGTTCAAACAAAAAACAAAAACAAAAACAAAAGAAAAAAAATTGAAAAATGAAAATAAGCTTCGAATCCTATTTTTCGTCAATAAGTAAACACTCAATTATTTTCTAAATAGTGAAAAAAAGCCAGCTATTCTAAGGTGGCATTTGTCATGTCAACACAATAAACAACCAGGAGAAAGAACAATCGGCAACCAGAACCAGCTCACTACAGCGCTGCTATTGGTTTTTTCATTGAAGGAGCAAGGACAACTGCTGGGAAGTGCCTGGCTGATGAGGATATCCTCTAAAAGTTATTCATTTTCTAAACTTAGTTTAGTTTAGTCCATTGAATTAGATTTTAAAACAAGCACCATTGAGAACTTCTTGATCAGATACACCAACAGATCAGAGGTGAGTATCAAGCTATTTTTCATTTATTCATCTCAAGTCTGATGTTTCTGATTCAATGCAGCTATTTGATAGCTATTCTACCCTTACTAAAAACCGAAATTTAACGTCTGCTTTATTTCAGTCTGTTAATCACTTAGTTTTAAGCAGTTGAATTCGGTCCAAGGTAAGAAATGAGTAAGTACTGTGTAACTATCATCAAATATAAAGCTAAAGAGATTATAAAAAGGTAGAAACCGAAGATATAGATAAACTAAGTGGAGAATGTGAGAGTAAAGACGCTTGTAGTTAAAGGAGTGAGTATCTATAGGTGAAAGGCTTATTCAAAAGAAAATAGCGAAGCCAGATATTGCATAGTGCATGAATTACTTCATTGTTGTTCTTTTCTGACTTTTTTTTGTTTTTGTTTTTGTTTTTTGTTTTTTGTTTGTTTGTTTGTTCGTTTTTCGTTTTGTTTTTGTTTTTGTTTTTTGTCTTTCGCCTCATAAAAGTATGCGTTTTTCTTATTTTGTCTGGAGAAATATGCGGAGAATAAATTGTAGAGAAGCTGGGTGAGAGTCTATCGAATTGGTCAAAGGAATAAAAGATGGCGTAGCCGAAGTACCCTCGCTTCTCACTTCTGGGGTCTCAGGTTTGATTCCTGGACTCGGCATCTCCGACTTAGCGTTTGTTTCGCCTCTCCAGAAACTCAAACGGGTTTTATGAGTTTCTTGTCTCTCCTTTGATTCCGGGTTTTTCTCCGGATTCTTAAGTTTTTCTCCCTCCGCAAATATTAACACACTTAATTCAAATCTGATCTGTGACTGTTAGCCGTGCCCAGACTTAGATAAGCCACGGCAGAGATGTTTCAGGGTTCAATCTGTGAGTTAGCCATGCACTGACTGAGATCAGTCCAGAGATTGTTTCAGAGTTCTATCTATGAAATGGCCGTGCCCTGACGATAAAATTTGAAACTTTGAAACTTTAGATTCATTAAGAATCTAACCATCATGTTCACTTACCACAATTAAAACAACAAAGTATATAAAACTCCAGGAACTGTGCGCATCCTGAATGAAGTACATGATATCAGACCAGCCCTCTAGCGTTATCACCTGGCGTGAAGGAATGAAAGCAAGTGTTACAAACCTGATGAACATTTTTGAATACAGCTATTTCAATAAAGGTTAGTGAAGGTTTTGTTTCATGTTGCATACCATGTACAACTTCGAACAGCAGTTGACTGCACTATGGAATTTTCCTGAACTTTTTCTGCGCGTTTTTTCCAGGATATTTTCTTCTGTGCTGACATTATTTACATATGATCAACAATACATTTCGAGCTTGGTATGCGACATGCGACATGCGACCTGCGACCTGCGACCTGCGACCTGCGACCTGCGACCTGCGA